CTATATTATTTTTATTAATAAACATATTTTTTCTGTGACATTTCTACTTCCAATACATTTCTGATGATGCATATTATTGTTGTACATATTTAAATGGATCTTATTTTTTGAGATAAAATTCACATATCCTAACATTCACCCTGCTAAACTGTACAACTCACTGGTTTTCAGTAAATTCACAAAGATGTGCAACCACCACCACCACTATCTAATTTCAGAGCATTTTCATCACCGTAATGGATTTTCATAATTGGCTGGTATAACTATTTAGAATGTAGGATAAAAAGGAACTAAATACCTCTGGTTTCCACCATCACTTAATGAATGCACTTATTGCAATATAACTTCCTATTTAAGATAAATTGTTTTTACCTAAAATTTATGTGATATAAAACACGTATTCATTTTAAATTAAGTATTCAGTGAACACAGATAACGTAAATTCTAATTCACCTCTCCTTACATTTTTTCCTGGTTTGAAACGAATGGCTTTTATGACAGAAAATTTGTATAGAAATGCATGGGGGAAAAAAAATCACTCAACTGCTTTTTAACACACGATGAAAAAGGGGTTAAGAAAGTCTCAAATATCTTTAAATTTTAAAATCCCGATTTATCGGTAATCCTTCCATTAAAGAAATGGGCTTTCATGGAGCTTTAAAAAAAAAAAAAGCTAACTGTGGACGCTCCTATACCACCTCCTAGCTTCTACCAGATGCTACGTGCACTGTGTACGTAGTCTAGCGTCACAAAGGACCACCTCCCTGACCCGAGAAACCGCTCTATGGGAACAAGCTAGGGACTTTGGTTTTGCCAGCCCTACGCCGCAGAGCCTTTCACCAAACTACCGCGCGAGGGCGCCCTCCCGGCCGCGGCTCAGCACGAGGTCTCCTCCCAGCCAAGAGCGCCGTCGTAGGCGGGCGCGGACGCCCAGCCGATCTTGCCTTATTAAATTATAGAAATTGGTTAAAAAAGAAAAGGGGTGGGGACATTCTCTGTTTCTGCTCTCACACCCAAGATAAGATTCCCAGGTTCCGGAAAACGCCACAGGAAACGGAAATGGCTTCTCCCTTGCCAGCGCGCGCGTCGGGTTGCATCACCCGCCTCATAGGGGGCCTTTTCCGGGGCTGCCCTCAGCGTTGCCTGTACAAATATTTAACAGGTCTGTGATGAACAGATCCCGAAACTTTGCATCGTGTTTTTTAGTGAGCCTACCAGCACGTACTGTACAAACTCATGTGGAAAAAAGGCTAAGCAGTGAGGCCAGTTCTGCACCGGTCACCCTCCTTTCCAGGCCTGGGCCCTAGTCGCCCTTCCAGCCTCCGATTCCCTGCCCCGCCCTAGGGGGCCTGCATATGGTCAGACGGCTGCTGGGTGACTTCCTTCTTCTCCGGGCAAGATGGCTGGGGGTGAGGCTGGAGTGACTCTTGGGCAGCCGCACCTTTCGCGCCAGGATCTTGCCACTTTGGTGAGGTTTTGCTTTGGGAGAATGGGGAGTGAACTCAGGAGTGAGCATGACCGAGCCTCCTGGGAGGCGTTGGGACGAGTCAGTGCTGGGCTGTCGGGAGTATGAGTTAAGAGGGGGAGCCCCGGAGCCTGGCGCCTTCAGCCGCACTCGCGCCGCTTCCTGTACCTCGGCCACCCCGCGAGCTGGGCTCGGGGGTGTACGATCGTGGGACCTCGAGCTTCTGAAGGATTTGGCTGGAAAATCTTGGTGTTAAATGTCATAAAGGTTTTCACCTTTGAATGTCTGGGAAGGGGGTGTCTACACTGTCCTCAGTTTCCTCAGTGCTAATGCTCCCAAGATTGGGGGGGGGGTTCCAGGCTAAGTTGAGTGGGAGTGTAGTCTGTTGTGTAACGATGAAGGGCTCTTATGGCAGCCATAAGAATACAGCATTACTTATATGGGAAAGGTGCTTTAGAAGTAGAAGGGATTTGTGTGCAGACTTGATGGGAGAAAAAAAAATATAGAAGTAGAAGAGATTTAGACATATGGTGGCGACCTGTAGATAGAAAAACATAGAGGAAAAGTTCTAATTTGTCTTATGTGCAGTGTTTCAAAGTAAATATATTTCATTGCAGGATGTTACCAAGTTGACACCACTTTCACACGAAGTTATCAGCAGACAAGCCACAATTAATATAGGTAAGACAAGAACTTAAGAGACCTGAACTTGCTTGATCTCTAGTAAGTAATTTTAACCTCACCTTTTCTGTGATTACCTGAATGTGCGGATTCAGATATTCAAGAAATAGATGTTGAGCCCTTGTGAGTAAAGCATCTGCAAGATTTTTGGGGGAAATACAAAGAATACTGCCCATGTCTAGCTTACAGACTTGGTGAGAAAAAAGAGACAGGAAAAGTTTAATAGCATAAGGCAGTATGTAGTCACACGTAGTAGAAGTGTAAGGAGGAGAGGAAAATCTGGCTGTACTTGCTACACAGGGTTATTGCAAGGGCAGAGTTTATGAAAGTTTGATGTATAAGCTTTAAGTATTGTCTTAATTGGCACCTAGAGCTTTAGAGGAGAAGTTATATTAACTGTAAATTTTGGACATGAGGCTTTTAAAAAGTTATAAAATATGTGCTATCCTTGACAGGATTACAGTAATTAAGCTTGGATTTTCTTGTTTCTATGAATTCCTTTTTGTTGTGTCAGAGCTCATCGTACCTAATTACTTTTACTCTAGAAATGCTGGAAAGTTTGTTAATACGCAACATTTTGTGTACTTTTTATTGAGTGTTTATTTTAAACGAAAGCAGTCTTTTCTGTGATTAAAAACATAAGATGAATAGCTTTTATTACACTGAGTATTTTTTTAAAATAAGGTTGTTAGTTACATGGAAAGTTCTCTTCAGTCCTCTATCAGAACAAGTTTTTAGTAGGAAAGGACATGTAAGGAAAAATTATAGTCACTATTGGTTTTACATTGGTATTTACAGTGAATTAGGGCTTTGGGTTTTCTACTCTTAACACTATTTGAAAAAAATATTTGGTGTAATTGAATGCGCATGAGTTAATTCTTTGTACTTTGTCTGTAGGTACAATTGGTCATGTAGCTCATGGGAAATCCACAGTTGTCAAAGCTATTTCTGGAGTTCACACTGTGAGGTTCAAAAATGAATTAGAAAGAAATATTACAATCAAGCTTGGGTATGCCAATGCTAAGGTGAGCTGTGTACTGTGGAACTAGAAACTATTTAAATTTAATTGTGCAGATAACAAGTCCAAATCTTTTTTCATTGAAATGTTTAGATTTATAAACTTGATGACCCAAGTTGTCCTCGGCCAGAATGTTACAGATCTTGTGGGAGCAGTACACCTGATGAGTTTCCTACAGACATTCCAGGGACCAAAGGGAACTTCAAATTAGTCAGGTGACCTCTTTTGTGCTAAAAACATTTTACATTTTATATTTTATTGTCTTGTGCTTTTTGAAGTATTTAATCGAGATATTAAACAATGAACCTAATTGCTGAGTGGTTTTGTTATTTTTCCATTGTTTTGTTTTCATTGCCTGTAATGATAATTTGAAATGTCAAGTATTTAAACCTAAGTTAAAATCCTTACATACAAGTTCTCCAAACTAAAGGTATTGCATAAGCAGAGTGGAATGGAGGGGAACACAACTCATTGGATTTAAGGGATTTTTTTTTTCCTTGGCTTCCTAAATTTATTTCAGAGTTGTTTCTGTTTGTTAGATAGGAGAGGACCAAAGCTTTTTTTTTTTTTGAGGCAGGATCTCACTCTGTTGCCTGGGCTAGAGTGCAATGGCATCATCATAGCTCAGTGCAACCTCAAACTCCTAGGCTCAAGTGATCCTGCTGCCTCAACCTCCTGAATAGCTGGGACTACAGGCGTGTGCCACCACGCCTGGCTGATTTTTCTATTTTTTTTGTAGAGATGGGGTCTTGCTCTTGCTCAGGCTGGTCTTGAATTCCTGATCTCAAGCAATCCTGCCTTGGCCTTCCAAAGTGCTAGGATTACAGGCATGAGCCACCATGCCTGGCCAGTCATTTTTAGTAACCTCTCTAAAACACATGGACTTGTTCTCCATCTGTTTTCTGAATATGAGTGCACATCCTGGTTCTTTATCAGAGGATACTCACGTTTGTCTAGTGATGTTTATGGGTGTTGGGGATGCCCCACAAGGAAATTTTAGATTGGGGCAGGGCTGGGACTAGGGAGAGACATGTGAGGCTGGCTTCACTTCAGGCCCCAAATTTAAGGGGATTAATCAGGGTAAATATTTTAATGTAGTATTTTTTAAAGTGAATGCACAAAATTGTAATAAACAGAATATATCCATTGTAAATAAAGGCAGACTCAGTATTACTGATGTTTTTTTTCCTCTTGCTACACTATCACTTTTTTTTTTGGCTCAGCATAGCATTGTTTCTGATCCTGTTTTCATTTAAAATTTTGGTATTTTGTTCATTATGGATTTTTTTGCATTAATTTTGTGTTTTTTAAATACTAAATTTAAATGTTTATCTTGATTACTAAGTTTTTTTGGCATCCCCTTAAAATTTGCACTTGCTTCACTGTAGCCCTTGCCCTGATTAGGGATCAGCAAACTTTTTCTGTAAAGGGCTAGATAGTAAATATTTTCATCTTTGTGGGCCATAAAGTCTGTGTTGCAAGTACTGGTTTCTGCTCTTCTATTATGAAAGCAGGCGTAGACAATACATGTGTAAATGGGTATGGTAGTGGGCCAGATTTGGCCTAAGGACTGACCCCTATTTTAGATCATGATGTTGTGAGCATACAATTTAAAAAAAACAACAATGATTGTGAATGAGCGCCATAGTTTTGTTAAAGTAGCACTGCTATATCCACTTCAAATGGGCAGTTTAAAAGTTTCAAGGTGCTAAAGGGATTTTTTTGCAAATTGTTTTTTCAGATGGCAATCCTCATTCTGTTAATATGGTTTTTACAAGTCATTAGGTTTTAGCTTTTGCTTAATTGACATTCTTATTATATACTCCCAGCGATCCCCAACCTTTTTGGCACCAGTTTCATGGAAGACAAATTTTTGATGGTTTTGGGATGATTCAAGTGTGTTACATTTATTGTGCATTTTATTTCTGTTATTATTGTATTGTAACGTTATGAAATAATTATACAACTTGCCGTAATGCAGAATAATGCCACTGCTGATGTGACAGGAGGCAGAGCTCAGGTGATGAAGTGAGCGATGGGGAGTGGCTATAAATACAGATGAAGCTTGCCTGCCCGCCTGCCCCTCACTTGCCTGCCACTCACCTCCTGCTATACAGCCAGGTTCCTAACAGGTCACAGACTAGTATCAGTCTGTGGCCCGGGCATTGGGGACCACAGCTCTATACCATATTTACTTTGCTTGGATTGTGAGTGTCTATATCTTCAGGTATTTCTACACATAGCTAATTTCATTTGTTTTGTTACGATCTGCAGTGATTTTATTCTCAGCTGGTGATCTTATTTCCTAGTTCTAGAAACACCAAGTCATGTAATCATTTTATGACAATAAGATGATTTCCTAAGTGATTTAACTTTAGGAAATCTATACCTTGCATGTTTAAGTATTGGTTGATCTTAAGGCTGATTGTTATTTCTCAATTGTTAGGCATGTTTCCTTTGTTGACTGTCCTGGCCATGATATTTTGATGGCTACTATGCTGAACGGTGCAGCAGTGATGGATGCAGCTCTTTTGTTGATAGGTAAATACATCAGAATTGGTTTGGACAAATCAATGTGGAACAAATCCAAAGTGGAATATTTAAAGGGAAACTAAGGCCTTTAAGGGCTATATCCATTACCTAAGGGTGACATGTATGGAAACTAACATGTCATCCTGTATGACATCCTTACCTATTAGCTGTCACAAAATACTAAGCAAGATAGACTTGGGGCTGACAGCTTGTGAGAATTCTTTTGGTAGTATCCCCCAAAAAGAAAAAAGTCAATAGTGCATTTTTCTCATTTAAATCATATGAGGTGGTTTATTATTTTAACTTTAAATTTATGTGTAAAAGTATTTGTATGTGTTATGGGGTTTGTGTGTGTTTCTGAGCTGTCCACTTGTAGACATATAATAGTGTGATTTAGATGCAAATAATCATTCATAGTAAGTGCTGAAGTCTAGGCCTGAGTACAGGTTTTTTTAAGGCTAAGGTTGTGCTTTCTTCCTTAGATGAGCTGTTGAGAGATTTTATTGCTATGGGATAGAAGTTTTTAAAAGCTTGCCAAGTAGGTAATAGTTCAGGACACCTGAACATCACAACCTGGGGAGGGTAATCATTACATACCCTAGGCATGTACGTAACAAAATATTACTACTTGTTTATAATACACTGTTGGTTATCTTTACAGTTAGTGTTCTTCCTTCCCTAGGTTAAGGAGTAGCCTCTGATATTAGTTAAAATTCATAGACAGTATTAAGTATCTTTTCCTCTTAATTACTCTCTACCTCTCAGAAGCTTGGCTGGGCCAGAACATTTCTAAAACTGTATAGAACTAGAGGGCTGTACCTTATACCTGAGCAAAAGCTGAGGGCAGACCCTGAGAAGCCAAAACTTGTTGATTTCAGGCTTCTTGCTTAGGACCAGGATTGGGATCCAAAAGATTGGGAGGTTCCAGTGGAGGCAGGCATAGAGGGTAAAGCAGGGGCAAAAAGTGGATGCTTGGCAATGATATCCAGGACTTTTGCCTGAGTAGGGGTAGAACACTCAAAAGTTGTCTTTATTAGATGCCAGCTTTTCGTGGGGGTGATGGTAGTAAAATACAACATAAAATTTTAGCCATTTGAAATGTACAATTCAGTGGCATTAAGTACATTCACAATGTTGCACGGTATAGTGATTGTAGCATCACCACTATCTAGTTCCAGAACTTTTTCATCACCACGAAAGGAAACCCCACGCGCCCAATAAGCAGTCACTCCCCATGCCTCCCTCCAACCTCTAGCAACCAATAATCTGTTTTCTGTCTTTGTGGATTTGCCTATTCGGGATATTTCGAGCTATTCTTATATGCATCTTTTTTTATTGATCAACTAGCTGGTAATGAATCTTGCCCTCAGCCTCAGACTTCTGAACACCTGGCTGCTATAGAGATCATGAAACTGAAGCATATTTTGATTCTACAAAATAAAATTGATTTGGTAAAAGAAAGTCAGGCTAAAGAGCAATATGAGCAGATTCTTGCATTTGTACAAGGTAAGAAGCCATAATATCTAACCAATCTATGAATCACTTGGAGAGGCATTTAGTCTGGATACCAGATGTTAAATTAACTTTTAATATAATAGATTATCTCAAACAAGGTAAACTTACGGGTCTTGAGCCTTTCTCTCTCTGTGCCTACTGCCTGTTATTGACCCAATAAAACTAGGGAAATCTAAGTTTCTGGATTTAACATGCTAAAGTATTAAAGTAATTGAAGTTAGAACTGAAGTTGTATTTTAGAAACTTCATCAATCAGAGTTTTTTTGTTTTTTTTTTTTAAATCCTCAGTGATAGTAAAATGAATAAAAGCATTTTTTTTAAAAAAAACTTAAATCTTACACTGTTTATTCTTACTGAGCAGCTACTTTCATATTTGGAAGTGACAGTGATTTATTTAATCTTTATAGTGTTTGTTTCTCTAATAGCATAGTGTTTTTCATTTCAGGGAAGACATGATACATCTTATTGTTGACATTTGATTCCCTCTTAGTCTTGTTTTTCTTGTTAGAAAACTTAACTTCCTATGAACTCATTTCTGTCGTCATGAAAAAGAATAAATCATTTTGATTAAAATCTAATTATGTTTGGTCCATTTCTTTGACCAACCTGTTTGACATATAATTAATAAGGAGCAAATATTATATGTGCCAGCAGTCTTTGCTTAGCAAAGAGTCTGCAATTTTATCTTGACATTTATTGGGAAGTTAATTACATGTTATTAGAAATTTTTTTGACTAGTAGAGTATTCTTTCCCAGGAGCGTTAGCATTTTATTCCTTTAAACGAGTTTATCATTTTACTGTATTAAATGTCTCTATCAATATACTTAACACTTTTTCCCTTAAAGGGAATAGTACTCATTTTCAGGAGTAAAAACAAACATAGGATATCGTCATCTTTCTAAATAGAATTATCACTTTCCACTTGTTGCTGGCATTTGTACGGAGTTGTTTAGGCATCTATCTTAGTAATACTGTTTTTTGTAACATGTCGAACAAGTTTTGTAAAACTGAAGAATCTTGATCTTTCTGAATTTTGCTGTATAGGTACAGTAGCAGAAGGAGCTCCCATTATTCCAATTTCTGCTCAGCTGAAATACAATATTGAAGTTGTCTGTGAGTACATAGTAAAGAAAATTCCAGTACCCCCAAGAGACTTTACATCAGAACCCCGACTTATTGGTAAGTGATAGAAATTGCCTTTAACTCTTTTTTGCTTGTTTTAAGAGAGAGTCTCACTCTGTTGCCCAGGCTGGACTGTAGTGGTGTGATCATAGCTCACTGCAACCTTGAACTCCTGGGCTTAAGTGATCCTCCTACCTCAGCCTCCCAAGTAGCTGGGACTACAGGCGGGTGGCTATTTTATTTTATTTTATTTTTTATTTTTTTAAAATTTTTTTGATAGAGATGAGATCTCGCTATGTTTCCCAGGCTAGTCTTGAACTCCTGGCCTCACAAGCGATCCTCCTACCTTGGCCTCCCAAAGTGCCGGGATTTCAGGTGTGCCACTGTGCCCGGCCACCTTTAACTCTTAATTTCATCTTTTCCACATTGGCGATTCCTCTTTAAGGGTGTTTATTAATGTTTTCGCTTTCTGCAGAAGTGATAATCCATAAAATTTTTTTAAATCGGTTAACTCTGAGGTTGTATTGGCAGTGCTAGATTGCATTACCGGATGAGGGATGGAGCCCTGAATACAGTAGGAACTATTAACCTTTCTTTGCTCAATATGTGGCAAGTTATGTGATCAAGATGGAGTAATACAGTATTTTCTATGGAATTACAATGTTTTAGTCAGGATGTTAGAACTTCCATACAAATGATTTCATTATACCATAAATAAAGAATTGGTGTGATTTGATCATCTTAAGCTTATGGTTCCTACACAGGTATGTAAGCAGCCTTTTCAAAACAGACATTCGAGCCCTTTTGGGGCCTTCATCTGCGGCTCCTGTGTGTTTGGTAGGAAATGTTCTCTCAGGTGACCTAAGTGCAGGTCACATAGTCCTAGTGTTTAGTTTCGAAGTTGAAGTTAAATTTTTATTACAGAAGTCATATGCTATAAAGGTGTATAAAGAAAATATCCACAATCTCTCTGCCTTCCAGTTCTAGTCCCTTAGCCCTGAAGTAACGAAAATTAACATTTGGTGTGTATTATTCCCACACCTTTTTCTTTGTTCACATCGTTACGTATAAACACACACATATGTTTTATTATTCTTTGTGGAAATGGAATCATATGCATGTTATTTTTGTAACTTTTTTTTTCCTTAATAGTATATTAAGGTCACTCTTCCTGATCATTACATATAACTCTAATATTCTTTATTAATAGCTGCATGATATTCCACAATACTGGTATACCATAATATGCCACCTGTTAATGAACTTCGAGTTATTTTCAGTTTTCCCATCATAAGTAAGGCTGCAGTAGTATAGGAATTTAGTATTAGATTTTGTTACAGCCACCCCTTTGGTATAAATCTCATATGGCTACTATTTTAGGAATGTTAACTTGGAAAAGAGTATTTCTTCTAAAGTTAAAATCAACAGAATTGGCTTTAATTTGTCTTGTCTTCTTTTAGTTATTAGATCTTTTGATGTCAACAAACCTGGCTGTGAAGTTGATGACCTTAAGGGGGGTGTAGCTGGTGGTAGTATTCTAAAAGGAGTGTTAAAGGTAAACTGGGTTTTGGTTGTTGTGTTTTTGTTTTATTCTTTTTTTGTTTTGCCCTTGTCTTAATCAGGAAAAAAATACGGACACTCCAAATTGAAAAATAAATTTTTTTTCATGGTGTCTTGTTTATTATTAGATACAGATTTGTCTACTATTACATCTTTTGAATGTGTCCAACCTCTAAATGTATAGGCTTCTTGTGAGCATGGGACACATTTTATATGGTGATAGGCTTGAGTGGTAGGTAGTTAGCAACAGTTGGATGGTTCTGGTATTAATGATCTCATCCACGCCTCTTTTTTTTTTTTTTTAATTAAAAGTGATCTTTCAAATAGAGGAAGGATTGCCTTTTCAGTTTTGTGGTCGTCTTGTTGGAACTTTTGATAGGTAAATGATAATTGTGTTGTCCTCCAGTAATTCTAATTACTTATTGTATGTTCATAGGTGGGCCAGGAGATAGAAGTCAGACCTGGTATTGTTTCCAAAGATAGTGAAGGAAAACTCATGTGTAAACCCATCTTTTCCAAAATTGTGTCACTTTTTGCGGAGCATAATGATCTTCAGTATGCTGCTCCAGGGGGTCTTATTGGTAAGGATTTTCCTCTCACATCTTCTCTTAATTTGTGGCTATTTGTGATACTTTTCATGGGACATGGGTTACTCAAAAAGGTATATTGTAGATTTTTGATTGGCTATTTTAATGATTAGAGTTGGGCAACGTTGACGTGGTTAAACTCGTTTTAGGTTATAAGATGGTTTCATGTGTTTGTAAAAATTATTTTTAAAGAAGGATGCATTTTGGTTTAGTATATAGTGTAACTCCTTTTTAGCAATAATATAAGTTTTATGACCTAGGATTTAAGATACCTAACTATACTTTTTTGTCTACACAGTTTTTGGAGTAGAGAGTGATTGCTTTTCATGTATGTTTTGCAAACGGAAAGTTACCCACAGATGTCAGTTGAATGATGTCAGATCATAATTATACCGAGATAGGAATAAAAAAAGATAACTTCCATTGTGTAGGAATTACTGAAATAATTTGAAGATTTTTTTGTCCCTTACAACGTAGTGTATTACTAGATACCCAGAAAAGTGCAAGATTTGGTGAGAATTAGAGGTAGTGTTGTACCTTTGGATTAAAGAAGAAAATGCTCAGCGAAGAAGCAGTTTATTCTTCACCAAACAAATTGATGATCTAATTTTTGGCTATGTAATTCATTTTTTCATTCTATCCTATAATTAACAGTTTACCATATATGATGTCATCTTTTTTATTTTTATTTTTTGTAAACAAGGAAATTCTGAAAACGATTTTTAAAATTTAACTTAAGGAAATCTTCAAACATAAGACAGAATGCTGTAATGATAACCCCCACGTAGCTACCACTCAGCGTCAGCAGTTATTAATATTTTACCAGTCTTGGTTCATATATATATCTTCTTTCCCCTCCTTCCCTTAAGATAAACAGCTTAAATATTTTGAAGTGGATCCCAGGAATAATACGAAGTCTTTAAACTGTCATTTTTATCATCCTCCCAGAAGGGAAAAGGCATGCAAATATTCTGCAAACTACTCATTATGAATTTTGTATCTTTTCAATCTTCATTAAGGATATTCAGACTCATTTTGAATTAGGTTATTATTTTCCTTTTGTTTAGAATTTAAATCAAGAGAATCAATCTGTTCTCAATTGCCCAATCAGCCCGTGAGTTTATAATTCTCCTTCTTCAGATAAACAGGTATTTTGTTATGCCTAGGTAGCTATTGTATGAGTATGAAAATATAAGTATTAAAATTTATACATAATATGCTGTACTTGTTTCACTAAGCTCTTGGGTATATAATTTATAGGTGATTTAGGAAATAAAAAGTTGGACTATGTACATCTTATTTTATATTAGGAGTTGGAACAAAAATTGACCCCACTCTATGCCGGGCTGACAGAATGGTGGGGCAAGTACTTGGTGCAGTTGGAGCTTTACCTGAAATCTTCACAGAATTGGAAATTTCCTATTTCCTACTTAGACGGCTTCTAGGTGTACGCACTGAAGGAGACAAGAAAGCAGCAAAGGTAAGTGCTTTTTATAATTCCTGTTTCAAAAAAAGTGACAAATGGTGATGTTAAAACCAGTTTTCAGTTTTACTCTTTTATAGTTAACATGAAATTAAGAAAAAAAGAAAAGGTAAATAAGTTTGACTTCCCAAAAATTTAGAACTTCTATACGGCAATCAGTTTAAGGTTAAAAAAAATACTCAAAGAGACAAACAGGGAAAAGTATTTGTGTCATGTGTAACAAAGACATGATATTCCCAATATCTGTATGATTTTTAAAAAAATGTCACAGTAAGATTAGGTTGGCAGAGATGGGAAATTGCTGGCATCTAGTGTTGGCAAGGATGTAGGAAAATAAGTCATGCTTTTTGAGAAAGTGTAAATTGGTAGTATTTTGAGACACATTTGGTGATATTTATGAACATTTTAAATGTGCCAACACTCTATCCCAGCAAATTTTCCTGTGGCATTGTTTTTTTAAATAGCATAATATTTATTATGGGACTATCTATTCAGTGGGAAAATGTACCGCTTTAAAGCTATACAAGGGAACTTCAAAAAGTTCATGGAAAAATGGAATTAAAAGATAAAAATTATAAATTTTATTTCTCAACATAAGCTCCATCAAGGTCAAGACACTTTTGTAAGTGATAACAGCCATTTAGTTTATCCCTAAAGAACTGAAGGTCCTGAGAATTTAACCATGACAATGCAGTCTTTTTTTTACATTATTAACTGAAGAAAAATAGATGCCTTTTAAAGATTTTTAAGATTAGAAAACAGAAAGAAGTCAGAAGAAGCCAAATCAGGACTGTAAGGTGGGCTGGGCGTGGTGGGTCATGCCTGTACTCCTAGCACTCTGGGAGGCTAAGGTGGGAGGATCGCTTGAGGTCAGGAGTTTGAGACCAGCCTGAACAAGAGTAAGGCCCCATCTCTACCAAAAATTGAAAAAATTAGCTGTGTGTGGTGGCGCATACCTATAGTCCCAGCTACCCAGGAGGCTGAGGCAGGAGGATTGCTTGAGCCCAGGTGTTTGAGGTTGTAGTGAGCTATGATGATGCCACTGCACTACTGCACTCTAGCTGGGGCAACAGCTTTCCTGGGTGTTTTTCTGCTCAAGCTTCAGCTAACTTTCTCAAAACACTCTCATAATAAGGACTCCAAAAAGTCAACAAGCAAAATGCCTTGAGCATCCCAAAAACTGCTGCCATGGCCTTTGTGCTCTTGACCAGTCCACTACTGCTTTGACTGGACCACTTCCACCTCTTGGTAGCCATTACTTTCATTGTGCTTTGTCTTCAGGATTATACCTGAAGGCCATGTTTCATTAACAGCTCTTCAAAGAAATCCTTCAGGATTTTGATCCCACTCGTTTAAAATTTCCATTGAAAGCTCTGCTCTTGTCTGCAGCTGATTGGGTACCCATCAAGTAGAAAGTTTGCTCAATTTTAATTTTTCAGTCAGGACTGTATAAGTTAAACCCATGGAGATGCCTATGGTTTTGGATATTATTTCTGCTGTTAATCATTGATCCTCTTCAATTAGTGCATGAACAAGATTAATTTTTTCCTTACACATTGATGTGGATGATTTGCTGCTGCAAGCTTCATCTTCATTGTCTCATCCCTTCTTAAAACTAGTTACCCATTTGTGAACTGCCAGTTCTTTGGAGCACTGTTCCCATAAACTTTTTGTAAAACATCAGCGGTTTCACCATTCTTCCACCCAAGCTTTACCGTAAATTTAATGGTTGTTCTTGCTTCAATTTTAGCAGAATTCACGTTGCTGTTGATAGGGGCTCTTTTAAAACTGGCGTCTAATCCTTCTTAGTGCCTCAAACTAAATTCCATTCAGACATGTTATAACAAGTTAGTATGAGTTTATTTTGGTACAAAAAAAATTGGAAATGCATGCATAGTTTTTTTCATAATTTCATTTTCCATGAACTTTTTGAAGACTCCTCATGTATTGACATAGAAAGAACTCAAAGTTACATTATACTAGGAGCGAGAAACGTGATAGAAGAGTTATAGAATTCTTTCTTATCAGTTATAACGCTGGGCCTTCTATTTGGAATCATAAGAGTCTCATGGTGAAAAATTCACAGAGCACAAATAAAATGACACAAAAAGTTATTTTCATGGGAAAGTGATAAGGAAAGAAATTTTGACTGTGAGCCACATGCCTATAAAACTTTAGGTTTGTCATGTTTTTGAAAATTCCTTTAATACTATTTTTTCCTCATCTGGCTTTTAATAAAAATATGAAGCCATTAAAACAATGATCTGAATTTGGGCATTAGGCTTTAAGTGGGGAAAAGAGCTATAATAGGAATAGCTTAATTAATTCACTTAATATTCAAAACAACCATGTATAGTAAGTGTTAGCCAATTTTGCACAGGCTCAGAGAGTTCTATTAACTTAGATGAAATTGGACCTTCAGAATCACCTTATTAACTCTCATGTAGCCATCATCCTGCCCTCCCCTGCCGGCTCCCAACCCCGTGCCACAACCACGGAAATTTTTTTACCTCATTTCTACTATATAGCTTCTTCAGAATTTTAAAGGGTTCTATGCTATGGTTACTAGCTTATTTTTTAAAAGTAGATCTTATGTAAATTCAGTGGATGCCAAAATAAACCTTCTGTTTGCCACCTTTAGGCTTATATATAGTTCAGATCCCTTTACCATGAAATTTCTGTAGAATATTTTTCTTTTATAATTAGTTTATTTCCAGAAGTGTTTGGTAAATTCCCACTTATTTTTGGAAAGCATTTTCTTGATTTTGGGGTTTATTTTTCCCCAATTTATTTCCCTAGGTGCAAAAGCTGTCTAAGAATGAAGTACTCATGGTGAACATAGGATCTCTGTCGACAGGAGGGAGAGTTAGTGCTGTCAAGGCAGATTTGGGCAAAATTGTTTTGACTAATCCTGTGTGCACAGAAGTCGGAGAAAAAATTGCACTCAGCCGAAGAGTTGAGAAACACTGGCGGTAAGTTTATTAGCCTTTGCCACTGTCTAATAAAAAGACATAGTCAATTTGCTTAAGTTCTTGGTGGTGTACACATAAATGCACATTCTTTCTTGAACACAACAGTTATTGTGGCTTTCAGTATCAACTAGTTATTTGGATGACTTTGAAAACTATACTTTTAGCTTTGATTTGTAGTCCCATACTTTAGTCCAAATACAGTTGGCTTCCCTTCCTCTTAGGCACAACCTATGCAAAAAGCAGTGAATTTAGGTTCATTATATTATCTTTGACTTTAGAAATAATTTCACACTTAATGAAAGAATTGCATTGTACAGAAAATTCCTGTATACCCTTTCCCCAGATACAAACACACAAATGCATTTATTTAAATATATAAACTTTTTTTCTGAACCATTTGAGGGGTGGATTGTATGTATCATGCTCCTTGATCTCTTACTGCTTCAGTGCATATTTCCCAAAAAAGAATATTCTTATATAACCACTTCAAGAAATATAATCATTGATGAAATACTGAAATCTGTAGTCCATGTTTCAGTTGTATCAATTATCCTAATAATGTCTTTTATGTCCCTCCAATCTGGAATCATGCATTGCATTTAGTTTCATGTCTCTTTGATCTCTAATCTGGAACTTCTTCAGCCTTTCTTTGTCTTACTTGATATTGATAATTTTGAAGAATACAAGCTAGTTACTTTATAGAATGTTCCTCAATTTGGGGTTATCTGATGGTTTGGAAACCTAACCACCAAGAGAATAGATTCAGGTTATGTATTCTTGGCTGGAATACTTAGATAGGTGGTGGTTTCCTTCTTGGGGAACCACAACCAGAGGCACATGGTATCTGACTGTTCCTCCTTGTTAAGGTTCATTTTGATTATGTGGTGAAGGTCTTGTCCAGTTTCTCTTTTATGCAGTTACTCTTTTTACCCTTGCAACTAATAAGCAATCTGTGAGGAGACCCGTTGAGCCTATGCAAATAGCCTGCTGCTCATCAAATCCCACCCTCCTGGATTTAGCATACACTGATGATTCTTGCCTGAATTGAACTTGAGTATGATTACAAAATTATAGCACCTCAGCAGATCATAGTGCACCCACCAACTCCACTGTCCCACATTTATCATTTGCCATTCTTTCTTCTCCGTTATTTATTTACCTATCTAGTTATGATATGGGTTCATGGGGTTCTAGTTTATTCACTGGGTTGTGATCCATTTCTGTCCTTATTTATTTTGATGTGCAAATTGTTGAAGATTTGGCCAGTGGAGACCCTTCAAGCTGGCTCCTGTATCCTTTTGACACGTACCCATCTCTTTTGTGTGTGTGTGGTTGGGGGGAACATTTCCTTATTTTCTGGCACAAGATGTTCCAGGCTCGTCTTGGACTTCCCTGCTCTAGTTTTAGAATTGGCCATTTCTCTAAGGAGCCCTGTTTTCTTTTAGTCGGAAATGGTATTTATAAATGAAGATCTGGGTGCTCGCTTCAGCAACACATACACTAAATGAAGATCTGGGTGCTAGGTGTGCTTATTGCTCCTAGGGTGCTCTTGCTTTTAGGTCTTTGGATAGAGCTAGGAAATACATACACATGTTTGGCTCCTAGCTCTTTTGCTCTTTCTCAGGTTAGTTACTGAGTCTGCCCCTTTCCATTCTGTATGACCTCATGATAGTCCATACCACCGTCATTTTACACTTAACAATTATTGCAAAAGACTCCTAGTTTGCCTCTTCCTTTGTTACTTTAGGAGCTCAGCCAAAATTTATCTTTTTTAAACATTTCATCATGCTGTACTTAATAATTTCCAGTAGCTGCTCACTACTTTCTGATATTCAGGACCTTTCTGGAAGCTTGCTTCAACCTGTTTAACCTTTCCTCCTGCTTGTCTTGTATAAACCTCTAAATTAGACTCTTTCAAATCACCCTGGGCTGTCTGTCCTTTCCTCACTGCCTACTTCCTTTATTAAGGTTTCCGTGGTACTATGCCCCACGATGATCTCTCATGACTTACTGTTTGGAAGATTGATCTGAATTTTTACTCTGTAGTTTTAAAAGAGTTAAATTTTTTGTTGTCTCATAAGTAAATAATTCTGCTTTGTGGTGATTTATGCCTGTTTGATTCTAGAACAGGTTCCTCTCTAGTGTGATTATCTATTTGCTATTATAGACATACTGGTTTCCAGTATATTTTTAAAATAGATTTAGATAATAAACTTTCAAAAACTCTCAACATGAAACGCATTATTGTCACTTAGTTTTAATGGTACATTTCCTAGATTCAAACAGATTTTAAAACAAAGAATCTTTGTGTCTGCCCACTAATATTATAAGAGGATTCTATCCAAATGAAATTTCAGACTTTGCTTCAAAATTAGCAAGTATGTTAAAATTCTTAAGAGAACATCTGAATGATCCTTACATTCTTCTGAATTGTGGTTTTTACCCATATTTAGGTGGGTTACTAGAAACTATGGTTGGGGTAGCAGTATCCAGCCTGGTTCTTTGAAAGAGGGAGCCGAGATCCCTTTGCTATTGAGAGTAATCTGCTTATGTACTGTATGTTCCTTTAGATCTTCTCTTATTTTCCTTTACCAGCTAAGATCATGCTAAAGGCATTGTGATCTGTTGAGGTGCTATGAATGAGAGGAAAGCATTTTTCAAGGAGAACAGGATAGAGAATGAGGCTTTAAAAAAAAACAGACTGAGGTGGTTTGTGTATCGTCATGGTTCCTTAGGTGAACTGAAGGGCCCTTGGGTGATTCTGAAGGAGTAGGTATGTTTTGATAGAGTAAAGATGAGCATATTTATGGTAGCAACTTTCTGTTTGCTTTTCCTGTCATTTATGCTGGCCAGAGCCCATCTGTCTGGTTCTAAGAATCTAAGAAGATAGTATGGGCTGTCTTTATGGCGAAGCAGGCTTTGAGAACAAATTTGAATTTAGAAGATAGGCAAATAAAACTAGTTCTGTCATATGATTGTGTGGTAATGATAATGAAATGGATGTAAAATTCATAGTTTCTTTTCTTTTCATTTGCAGTTTAATTGGTTGGGGTCAGATAAGAAGAGGAGTGACAATCAAGCCAACAGTAGATGATGACTGAAGAATCCCAGTTAAATAATACATTTGGATGGAGTTGGAATTTCTCTTAACCTAGGGGTGTATTTTCAAAGCAATATTAGGGAATTCATTTCACAGCTCATTACCTTAGTAGGTAGCTAGCTGTAAGGTTATTCTCATTTTTGATGGTGAAAATTTAACCTGGTAATAAACTAGGGTCTATAATAAATATAAAAATTGGCATAATGTTGGATTGAATCTACATTTTAGCAGAAGTTAAGCATTCCAAAATAACATCTAATTTGTAATGTCAACACAGGTTTGAAATGAAATTGCTACAACCAGCCTTTGCTGTAGCATACCACTGAACCTGTTTGAAATAAAATTTTTCTTCTTCTTTTTCATGATTTGTCTTTCAGCAGCTCTAGGCTGAAGGACTGTTGTACTATTAAAAACTTGAAGACACAAATTCTCCTTGAAGACCAGCTCCCTTTTGTTTGGCGCCATATTTTATGTTGCTTTATCTTTGAAGTTTTGAGTGAAAAGGAAATTAATAGGTTAAAATGAAATTGTTCTTCAGAGCATGAGCACTTCTTCCCAGGACAAACCTTTCTCTCCCCTTACTCTTTTCCTGAACTGGAACACAGGAAACCAGAGCCAGAAGTTCTGTCCCTTTCCCCGTGATGGCCTGATACTATTTCTGCATTGGTTTATGCCTGAAACCTAATAGTCTTCCCCCACTGGAAAATATTGTTATACCAAATGATTCTGAATGAGTAACAAAGATGGCCATTATTTTACATGTTTTCTTAAATGTTTAATTGGCAATAGTTATGACGTAGATTCTAATATTAGTGATCTTTGGACCTTTCAAAAGCTCAAGAGATAAAGGGTGTTAGAAAGGGTGACTCCTTTTAAGATTTTTAACTTATTGTCCATGTCCCTATACTTTTCCTATGGTGTTCTTTTTTATTTTTATTTATTTATGTTTTTGCTTCATGAAAGATTCTGTTGAGCAGTAATTCCCAACTCTGGCTGACATTAGAATTGTTGGGGAAGCTTAAAAAAAAAAAAAAAAGATGCCCCACAGAGATTCTGAATTGGCTTGGGGTAGAGCCTAGGTGTTGATATTTTTAAACACTCCCGTGTTGAGAAACAAGTTTAGAGATTTGAGAAGTAGATATATGAAATAACGGAATCTTACTGAGTTTTGTTAGTCTGATAATACTCTAGTTTGCTTTTCTTATATTTGCATTGACATGGGATTCGATGCCACTGTCATCATATGGTGCTCATTTGGACATTGAAGCTGCCTCGTCGAAGTTTAGAAGCTGTGGTTATGGGTCATTATTTAAGTTGATATGCTTTAGGGAAGCATATTAATGTTTTAATATATACTTGGTTGACTTTGAAGGACTGTGTTGTAGCATAAGGAACACATTTAAATAAAACAAGGTTCTAAACGAAACATTTATTTATATCTAATATCCCCATGTGTTTTGTGAGCACCTTCTACCGGAAATTCTGGAATAAGACCCAAAATATTGACTAATTTGTTATGATTAATCTCATGTCAGAACTGAAACCAGAAATCTATTGTAATTAATTCCAAACACCCACATGAATTTCAACAAATTTGCAAAACACCGTGCTGCGTTGTAATTGGGTATATACAGATGAGAAAACAAGACCTTATTTTCATAGAATTTGAAGCCAGCGCAATGATTCTTAGCAAAAGGTATATCTTGTTGAGATCTGCCTATAAGGTGACATTTCTGATGAAGGTATATTGCATATATAAATCTTGACTGCACTGTCAAGGTATTTTCAAAAACTGGCCAGTTCTCATCACCTCTAGTGCTACTACCCTAGTCAGAGCCACCCGTGGCTCTTAGCCACACTAGCCCTTCTAACACCTCCCTGCTTCTATGCTTGCCCTGCTGCATTTTTTTCTCAACACAGTCGCCAGAGTTACCCTGTTTGTAAGAGAATACTGTGTACAACTCTATGGTAATAAACTGTAAAGTTGATCTCAGAAATGACGGGCACGAAGACAGTCTAACTGTGACATCATTCAAATGGTTTCCAGGCTGACCTAGAAAACTCCACATTTTACTCCTTATATGTAATCTCCAGAGATGATGTGTGTGTGTGTGTTTGTGTTTGCTTTTGCAGAGGAAAAAACTAATATGAGTGTGGAGATAACTGCACTCAAAACTTCTGAAATCCCCATTTCTAGAAAAACTTGATATGGTGATGCTTCCAGTGAAATGGATGCTTTTCTGGAAATTTGTAATTTTTTAAAATTACCAAAAATAAAGCAGATACTCTTAGGAGATTGATAACCATTAAACTGAGGTTATTACATTATATCTGCGAAAATCTCCACAGACTCACACATTCTGCCCAATTTTAAGGAATAGATGATTCCTATGTTATTTAAATTGTTCCAGAATATAGGAAAAGAAAGGGGGGGAAAAAGACATCCTAACTCATTGTTCAAGATTATTGTATTCCTGCTACTCAAACCCAGAGAAAATACTACAAACAAACAACAACAACAACAAAAACTAGAGACCATTCTCATATGTAGATGTAAAATCTGTACTAAAATTTAATAAATCCAACAATGTACTAAAAGAATAATGTGTTCTTGTGTATACATGGATTGTTTCATAGGTTGAACAAAAAAATTCCTTGGAGATGTATTTTATACAATTCAAAGTAGTTTTTAAAATGTAGGTAATGTAAAGAAGGAAACTTTATGGACTTCATGTAGTGTACTAAGCAAAGAATTACCATAACCATTGTTTTTAATGATGACACATTGGAGCACAGTAATATCCTGCCATAATGCCATAGGTGGGGTAAAAATCTCAGTTGGGTAAAATATGGGGTTATTGTGAAGTTAATGAAATAACTAGAATGAATTTCCCAGGGTGGGAAGCAGTCATTGATTGCATTATATCAGAATTCATATTGTATAATTTCTCTATATTCTCTATATTCTCATTAAGGTCTGAAACAAGAATGTCAGCTACTGCTTCAGTTCTACAACATTGTTCTCTGGGGCTTAGCAGATGAGATATAGGGAATGAAAGAGACAACATTTTTTACAAGGTATAAAATTTCCCACCTAGAAAATACAACCCAGAAACTGAAAAACTGAAACTGGTAAGAGAGTTAAATAAGATGACAGTTCAAGATAAACATGCAAAATTATTAGTTTATATATTCACATACAAATCGAAATGCAATGGATATAAACTATCCAGGTATACATTTAACAAGAATATGTGAGATATGTATGAATAAAGCTAACATTTTGCTAAAGGACAGAAAAGGAGATAAGAATAATAAAGAGGGATGGGAACGTTCAATATTCTACAGATGACTATGCCTTCCATTTTTTTCTGCAAATTCAATGTAATCTCAATCAAAATTTCAGTAAGGCTTTTAAAAGAACTTGTCAAGCTGATATTAAAGATTTGGAAAAGTAAATTCACAAGAATAGTATATAAACATTTGAAAAAGAATTGTGATTGGCGAATAGACAACATTTTAGAACATATAAAGCTACAGTATTTATAAGAAGTATGATATCGATGCAGGAATAGATCAATCATTAGAACAAACTTTACAACCATATACAAAATTTTAGTAATTTATGCTATAGGCAGTGTTTGATGTCAGTGAGGAAAAGAATATTTTGTAGTCAAAATGGCTAGCCATTCGGGGATTAAAAATATTTTATTTAAAATTGCATTTAAGATTTTATTGAGATCAAATTTTGAACAGAGAAAATGTAGGAGGTTATTTTAGTAATTCAGGTGAAGAAGGCAAAACAAGAAACCCAAAAGCTGTAAGGGAAAAGTTGACAGATGTGATAACGTAAAAGCTCAAAACTTCTTTTCGCTAAAGATATCACAGATTTAAAAGATGATAGATTGGGAGAAAATACTTAAAAAACTTACATGAGGATTAATATCTATAGTACAAATCAGTAAGATAAGGAAATAGAAATGGAGTTAAAATATATATTGCATCCCTTGAGTAGGCTAAACACTGGCAGGAAGAGAAGCGTCATGTACACACACGCACACTGAATGCTACTGATTGATTTGTGATTTGGGCAAAAATATAGAAGTTAGTGGCAGTGAAATGGTTCTGCACAGCAGGAGCAGATGCAGCACGTTATCTGCCTGGAGTTTTTGTGCCCGAGACTAACAGGGAAGGGTTGTGCTGCTGCCAGTGACTTTGTTACAAGGTAGGGTCTTGTAACCCTACCTTGGATCAGAGAAGATGGGTTTTATGCTGGGCCATTGTATTTCTAAACTCAGGGATTATATCTCTGTTCTGGAAGAATTTAGACAAATTTAATGTTTCCATTTAAGGGAATATATGCAAACGTTGGCCATCAGGGAAATCACACTGTGTTCTGGGAAATAAAGCAGCATTATTGAATGATACATCTGACTTCAGCTTTTTGGCAACAAGGAAAATGCATCTCTTGCAAATATGTGTAGGCAATTTATAGAAGAAACACAAGTCCCAATACCCATTTGTGAAGTGCTTAGCCTATCTAGTAATAAGGAACGGGAAAACTAACAATGATGCGATATCATGTCCACTCAGAATCTGCAAGTTTAAAAGATTTATAATGAATGTTGTTGAGGATATATTATTGGTGACAAGCATAAACTACATTCTGAAGAGGGCAGTTTGAGTCTATCAAGATTTAAAATATCTCACCCTTTGACCCAGAATTCCATCTCTGGGAATGAATCATAAAGAAGTGTTTACTCATGTTCACAAAAACTTATGTAGAAGGATGTTCAATCCAGTGTTGTTTATTATAACAACTATTGTAAGGCATCTAAATGTTAGTCAAAGGGAATGATAAAAAACATTTTGTGGTATGTTTATTCTAATATGAAAAAAAGCTATGAGCTACCTTTGATTTAGCCCTGGTTAAAATTAAAGGTGCAAATACTGGTCCCAAAGGTATTTTGCGGAAATCACTGACAGGAAATAATCTTTTCAATGTACAGTGATTTGAGAATTCAAAATACAGTATTGGTTATTGCCCACTCAACAAAAAGAAGGAAGAGGAGTGTCAAAGGAAAAAGCTCCATATCAGTGTTAGCACTGAATCTGTTAGAATCACAACTTTTTTGCCCTTAAATAGCTAGAAAGCCAAGACTAATGAATTTATGCCACTTTTATATTAGTGAAATTATACATTAATCACTATTGGGTTAGTGTACCCATTACAATTTATTTTCCTACAACAAATACTTTCAAATATAATTTCCTATTATGAATGAAGAGTGAATAATATATTCCCCACAACAAATATGTAAAAAGACTTATCAGGAATCATAACTTTGAGTATTATACTCCAAAAGAGATAACAATAGGCTGGGAACAGTGGCTCATGCCTGTAGTCCTAGCACTTCAGGAGGTTTAGGCAGGAGGATTGCTTGAGGCCAGTAATTTGAGATCAGCCTGGGCAACATAGGGAGATCCCATCTCTACAAAAAATAAAAAACAATAGCCAGGGATGGTAGCATGTGCCTATAGTCCC